AAGAAAAATTTGGGTTGAATCAACTTTGAATATGTTTAGATATTGTGCTGCTAGGGTACTAGGTAATATTTTGCTATGAATTTTATTTGCACTAGCTTAGATCGAGGTAATGTTAACAATATCGTGTATGATTTTATTTTAGTTTCCATTATGTGGTGTAGATTTAGAATACAGTAGGTGATTTTAACTCGAAAAAAATAAATGAGATACCTAAACTAGTGCTTCCCAACTTGGGAAGACGAAATGAAATTGTAGGGAATACTACATTAAGAGTAGCTTCTGTTTGTAAGTGACTAGTGATAGGTAGGGCTATTATTTTATCATGGTGCGAATTCCCGTGATTACGTTTTTGAATTTTACTGAATTTTGAAAGGTTTCGCGAGTATCGGAGTTTTCCTTAAATTTCGAAGAAAGCCACGGATTCTGAATTTTTCTATTCATCTTTTAATTTCTGTTATAATTATTAGATTATTTTAATATTTAATTTTTGCAATGTTTTCCATTAGAACTTCCTCAAAAATAAACTGCGAAGTAATCGTATTCCAAAATCCGAGCAAGTAGATTTGAACTCTGAATGACTAAATTTTGTTGCAACTCCATATTATGAGTAAAAGGTCGTTTCTGAAATTACTTAAAGTCACCTTTTATTGCCCATCTTTGATGGCATAAAATTTCGATGCCGAATGATCCTTTTTCAAAAACACGTTACTTTATGAGAAGATCTGTGGATGTGCAGAATAATGTATAAAAACATCAATAAATTGCAATCTTCGTATACAATACGCTACTGAATATGTTTCCAGAGCTTGTTTAGTTTATAAACTTCGTTTAAAAATTTTATAATATAATTATATAATAGTTTTTATATAATTTTTATGAGAATTTTTTGTGTTATTGCTTCGTTTATAATACAGACCACTCGAAATGTTATTGTAAATCTTCAGCCGTAAAATGGTTAATATAAATCACGAGTCGCGAAAGTTTCCCGAATTTTCACTACATACTACCTCAATGACAATGTTAATCAGGTTTTCTTTTTTAATTCATCGTTTACTTTTTACACGTTTTTGTGAGATAATTCATTTCTCTTATCGAATGGGATTCAGCGAACCAAACTTCCAGTTCGTTGAAGTACGTTATAGCGGGGCTGGACCATAATATTAAAAAAATTAGAAAGTTATATCAATTTTGCTGAATGTAAGTTTAATTCTGGTGAAATAGCATTAATATTTCTTAGTTTCTATTTAATCCTTAAACTTGCTTCTTGCTATTTCAGCAAAAATATATTTGTTAATACAAAAATACGGAATATAGGGTAAAAATATTACTTATATCTTCTTGTGATCGTAAATCATTAAGCAAAAATTAACTTAAAGTTTTTTCAGTCTGAATACTTGTCTGTGATGCCATGCTTAATGTTATGAAATGCTTATCTGTGATATGATCATGCTATAATTTGCAGGAGCTTTATTTTTTACCGAAATATTTTATGCGACGATGTTTTAAAACTGCGAAGATTTTGCATCGCACTTTTTCTCCTATTGTTGCGTTAGAACTGTCACGTTTCCTCCTTGCTCTCTATTCTGCCGCGATGTTTGTTATGCGATGTTTGATATTTTCCTCTTGCGTTGCTTTCATCCCGATGTTTTCACCAGTAACCCATAAAATTGCTGCACTGAATATACGTCATATGATTTACTGCAGTGCTCCGCAACCTTTTCTCACCTGCGACGCACAAAAAATCTTTCTGGAATTTCGTGGCACACCAAAGAGTTCCGAGTTATCAAGGAAGTGCCGAAAAAATTCAAATGCTGACACACAATCCCACACACAACCACACAACAGTGAAATATATAAAAACATTTAAAATAAAGATTATTAAGGAAAAAAATTGTCATTGTGTATTAAAATACATGATAAAAAATTGCAAAATGTCAAATACATGTATTTGATTGCGGCACACCTATATCCTACTCATGGCACACCGGTTGCGGAGCACTGATTTACTGCATAGGGTAGACATATGATGTGACATTGATTTTATTTTATGCAATATTATATATTATTATAGCAGTGATTGTTCATTGAATGAAAATACTAATTAAACAAACTCTAGGGGTCATGTAGCCACAGTAGATTTAGGAACCATTATTTTAAGTTAACGACATATTTGAAGCACGATTTCGCATCTGAATGTAAAGGAATTATATTATTAACACATAAGTACATAACAATAATTGTTACACTACTGTTAATATATTATATGCAGAGTTTGATCGATGTAGCTGCTTAAGCCAAATCCGGGTAAACAGGGATAGTAGTTGGATATAACAGCGATTAATAAATATGGAACTTTAGAATGGGGCAGTCGTTGCTTTCGAACATTTTGCATTATTTGTTCTGCCCATGAAACCGAATATGGTTCATTCCTTATGATAATATTGAAAAGAAGTACGTTTGAATCGTAGTGGAGAATAAAACTTTTAATTTAAAAAAGTACTAATCAAAATATGTGTAAAGAGTCCAATCAAATATCACTAATCAAATACGCGAATTGAGCTTTTCATTGTATAATATGTCATAAAAATGGCAAATTCTTAATTTTTCTTTGTCAAATGGTTCATCTTGTGGAAGTATATGTAAGTATTTGTCATGTAGTTATTTTATAGTCATATGTGATACAGAAATAAAGAAAGAAACAAAGTATTGCAACATGCATTAGAGAACTATTGAACATAGAATAAGTTAAAGTTACATCTCTTTGTTTGCAATCACTTATTCAAAGTGTAAATTAGAAAATTTTTGCCGTTATTAGTAATGAAAAATATATCGATTCTTCAAACTGTTTTTTTAACAATTTTATATTACTATGGCAAAAAAAATAAACTATACAAAATGTGCTTTTAATTTTCCATTAAGAGAAATTAGGCTGCCATTAACTACGGAATTGAAAAGAATTTTTATCATTACAGTAATAAATTTCTTTAAAGGTTCATAAATGCTTTAATTGTCTAGCGCAGCTATATATTGTAGACTTTTATTAACAGCTTCACGAGCTATGAGAACATAATTGTTTTGTTTCGACACATGTCTTTCTGGCGTTTTTCAGAGGGTCAGTTCAATATATGATTTCAAAAGATGAAGTTGATGAAATTTGAGTATATATAAGTATTTACCTCACCGCTTATGAGAATTGAAATAATGCATTACAAAACAAGTTACAGTCATTTGGAACTGACGGTGAACACAAAATTTTCTTTCAACAGTCTTTGATATTTACGAACCTGAATATGTCTAAGAGATGTTACAGCTAACAGCTACTCAAAATCTTAACTTACCATTCAAGTATACCTTGAGCGTTTAGTCTTCAGAAGCTGGACTGGCAGGTAGCCAGAGTTAATCTGAATTTTCATACGATTACGAACTACTCCTCTAAATTTATACTAAACTGCTTGCCACTCAGATCTGCATAATCACTAGAATGAGCCGAGAAGGCCGTGATGAAATGAGAACATGTAAATGAAGTGAACGTGTAAATAAAAATCAATTTGGTTGGTTAAACTCAAATATTATAATGCCGTTGTATAAAATTTTAACTTTCAGAAGGAAATCGAAAAAACAAAATGAACGAGTAAGATTGAAAAGCATGCCTTCCTTCTAACTGATTGAACTGAGAAATTAAATCTAAGTTGATTGAGACCTAGAACTTAATGCTGTTTGATGTTTATCACAGCTTAGAGTTTAGTATGACAAATACTTTACAGATGTGATTGAACAGCGCGGTTGATATTAAGGGGTATCGATGTCAAGCAGAGCTGAGCTAAAAGTGGGAAAAAATGACGGGGGCTTAAAATTAAGCTTTAACAAATTAAAACTATTGTAAATGTAATTAAACAAATACTTAGAGGCGCAAACTTGAAATTTACTTTTAGGTGTTAAATTTTTTGGCACAATTCTTTAGAGTTTCCATCAACATTCACTGCAGGGCAGAAGTAATATATCATCAGATTCTATCTTGAAATCTAACTTTGTGTCGTCTCTTGACAATAGCGAAACAAATTTTTCCAGAGTACAATTTATGGATTTCAAAATAAGTAATATCGAAATGTCCGAGATATCAAGCTGGTATTCAGGGAAGTAACATTGAGTTTCAAACATAACTTTTGCATATTTCTATTTCACAAGGGTTCAAAACTTTTGATTCCCTTTCTTCGTTTCACTTGAGACAGTATTTTCAGCACTTGCCGATGACAGACTGAATTGCAGGGTTAATTTTAAGTATAAAGTGTTGTAAACAAAATTTGCCGTTACCCTGTTATTATTTTTCAATTACAAGCGAAAGGCGAGAAAAAAATCGCAGGTTCCAAAATTTGAAGATGTGACATCTGATAAAGAAGAAACAAGCTAACTTTTTTATTCACGGTCTAATTTATTACAAATATCATAGAACTGTATATTAATACTCTTCTTTAGAATCAGGGTATTTAAATTAATATTTATTTTACTTGTATAATTATAATTGCACAATATTATTAATTTGCTCTCTCGCTTGATAAATTCTAAAACTTCAGCATAACTTTTTTTTTTCATTTTGGGGTCAAAAATTTAAAAACGTACATGTACCTCAAGTAATTTCTAGCAGAGTTAAACTTCTAGCTGTGAGCTGTACTAATTCTATGCAGAGGTCAAGAGTCGTAGGTTTAAAAAAAAAAAGTGTTCGATCTTTCAAACACTTTTTTTAATCTACGACTGTACTACAGCGAATCAGCAAGCAGTTTTAAATTAATTTTTGTATTTCTAGACTGTCACACAGCTATGAATATTTTTCTCTCTTTTGTCTTCTAGCTACGTCTGAATTTTTTGTTTTGAAAGCCAATGTCATTTCTTTCAGCTTTGACAATTTAAATGTGACAAATCATTACGTTGCTTGAATATTTTATGAAACGTTACTCAGCATGATCGATTTCAGACTCATAAATCGCTGCTGTTTTTCTTTTCAGTTATTGCTCTTTCCTCGAACTCAACTCCTACCGTTCCATCACCAGTCGCAGAAACCAAGTCTGAGTCGCCTATTAGTGCTAATTCCACAATGTCTCCGCAGAATAAGGTAAGTGCATATTATGTGGATTGATTAATTTCCAAGTTCTTGCTTCGGGTTATTGTAAGATTCACAGGCTATTTAAAATATAAAAGCGTTAGGCATATTTTTGTTGCAAAAGCTGCTTAGAAATAATGTAGTAATATATAGCGTAGTAAATATGTGTGTACTGCTTTATTTAATAGTTATATTATCTTCTATCAACTTTGAACCGATTAACTTTTCATTAAAATGCTGTAAATTACTGAAACAGTTCACTTGTGATATTAATAACCACCTTTGTTCACCTTTTTGTGGAAGGGGAGGGAAATCAAACTCCATACAATAAATAATGTAAATATTTTACTTTGCTGCAACATACTAAATGCAAACACAGAATATATAACATCTTTTGAACGCAATTATAATAAAAATAATCGCTTGTTGCCACATTGCTGAAACAAAATCATAGAAAACGTAGTTAATTTAAAAGTAAAAATAAATTATTAATTTAAAAGTGTTTTGCGAATAACAGCAGCGCCCTCTTTCGACGAGCAGCAATACAGTAAATGTCATAATACATTAGCGCCCCCCCCCAATGACCCTATAAGCAGCTTAAATGAAATTTAAACAAACTTTAATTATAAAGTAATTGAAATAAATTAATAAATAAATTATCCATGGGACCAGTTTATGGACTGGTCTCTTCATTTCACTTGAGACAGTTTTTAAGTTCACTGCTCTTACTGTGCTGTCAGTTCCTTTATAGGTCAATATTACACTTGCCTTTTCGTACTTTTCCGCATATTGCAGATTTTGCTCCGATAATCCAATGTTTTGTTAGTCCAAAGAGGCTTTGTCCCTGAAGGACTATTGTTTTCGTTTTGAGATTTTGCGTCGATTCACTACAAACGGCGAATCACTTTTCAAACTGTTGCCACAAAGTATTATCGCCCTGAGTTATATTTAAAGAAATTAAATAATTAAAAATCTGCATAAATGTATGTATATTTCTGGCATTGTGATAAAACAACCGCACCTAGACCCATCGAATTTTAAATGACGTAATCCTCCTACGAATATAGACATGTGGAAGACCAAATTTGAAATTTGGAATTTGTTTTATTATCGATTTCCTGTTTTGTAAAACATTAACGAATTTTTGATTAACAAAACTCAAGGATTTCAAAGCTTAAAATCTGAAACATCTCAGATTTTTTTTTCATCGCAGAGTTAACCAGTTTTACTCCTCCATGCATGTAATTAAGATTATAGAGTTCCTCACTTTGGAATTCTAAGTTAATGTTGGAAGTGAAGAATCTAAGAACTGATAAGCGAATAATCGCTTGAGTTCGGTGACAAGAAACAACAAGATAGAAGGGTAACTAACCCTTTATTATTCCAATAAGATTTAACAAAACTCCGCCTGGGAGTGTACAAGCAAGCCCGCACTTGGACTTGAACTTAAAAGACTAAGAATTAAATTAAAACTAAGATTAACTAAAGAAGTATAGCCGAAGCTATCAAGGTTCAATTCGAGTTGGCCCCTTAACTTATTTGACTACGAAGCTTAGCAAGGGCCTGAGTACGGCCGAGCGTAATAACAGCTTTGAGAGAGAGAGTGGCCAAAAAGGCAGACGTGCGTAAATCAGAAACTCTGATTCTCTCTGACTGAGTAAGTAACTTCGTGGTTTAAATACCGCTCCTCCTCATTAAATATTTAGCAAGTTTCCAAAACTACGTTCTGGCCGGAAGTAGTAAGTTGAAGTTAAGAATTTGACAGGAAAGGAACTTTAACTTAAAATTTAACTGTTAATAAAATTAACATAATCCTTACAAGGTGATAAAATTTCACTTATAATTTCGTAACAGAATGATTCTTAGGCAATATTATCAAATGTTTCATAGACTGTGGTAAACTGGCATTTCTTAACCCCTTCGAGCCGGGTAGCGAAAACGCGCGCTTATCGCTGAGGCCGGCAGTGTCTTACGCGAGCGTCTCTCCAGGGCCGGGGGCTTTTTTGCTACTAAGCCTAAATCCATGAAATTTCCGAAGTATCAACGCATTGTTTAATAATGCTCTATAGAATATTTAAACGGCTTATGCTTTATAGATATTTTTATATATATACTTTAATTACCTTATTTCTTGTTTAAATGCATATTTTACACATTTTATTTTAATTACTCACCATTTTATGAATTTTAACATTATACATCTGAAAACTAAATATATTACTTAAAATTCTCTTTTCGTATGAAAAATTTGAAAACAGGGATCTACACACAGTCCTACGTTACAGTCCTTGCACTCGTAATAACTCATTTGCCGTTTTGGAGGATTTTTCCGGGAATGTGAACAAACGAAGCATCGTCGTCTCATTTTCTTATCAGTCTCTTCTGAACAAAGTTTTGGAAAATGTCTTTCAGTTACCGTAATTTCCGAAAGAAAGGCCGCATCAGCGTAAACGCCGCAATAGATTAAATTGCGCGTGACATAGTCATGGGCCGTATAGATGCAAAAACTCAACCTAAGTCCTGATATATGACATACCAGTTAAGAAAAATGCATGAAATGAAACCATAACTCAAAAATAAATTAAAGGTAAAAAATGTATAGCTTCTGTGCCGTTTAGAGACATTTTCAAAAATTTTCCGCTCCCTAATTAAAAACTATCCAACAAGTACTTGTACCCTAACTGATGGGATCTGTATTTGGCAGAATGCCAAGAAAAATCCATTCATGCTGAAGGGAAAATACGTCAGAGTTCGTTATTGCGAGGCAGGTGGAGTCGTGTCCGCCTTTGAAAAAAATTTCAGAAAAGGCAGGGGTGGAAAGAGGATGGGTCCTGGAAGATTCATCGAATGGCAGAGGAGAGAGACTATTCAAACTGATGAGAATGTTGATTTGAAAGGGGGAAGAATGTTATTGTTCTGAGATCTCGTTTAGGGTGAATAAGGCATGTAGGTCCGTTTAAGGAAAAGAACGTAAACAAAATAACGTTCGCAAAAAGCAACTGAGTGGTCTTTTGTGTGGGAACAGCACCAATCTATGCACAATGACAAGGCCATCCAAACTATGTACAATAACCATCATAGGAAATATTTTATTTTTAGTGCACCTAAACGCCGCATGGGTAGAAACGCCGCACCCGCTGAAAATTTAAGTTTTAAACACGTAAACGCCGCGGCGTTTCTTCCGGAAATTACGGTAATCTTTCAGAATCAATATCAGAATATCAGAATTTCAGAATCAATATCTGAAATATTTTGCATCATTTCTGCTATTTCATGCTCTTTTAAACATTTTCGACGCTTCGACATTGCAACGGTAAAAACAAAGAATTTACGTCTAACAAGATCTAATTATTTTCTAAAAACTGAACTGCAAACCGAAATACCCAACGCTTTAGAGCAAATAAAACTTCTCACTTCTCTACTTCTCACTTACAGTAAACAACTACCACGTGCGAATAAAGTGCGATTTAAAGAGACGTCATAAATCACGCCATTCGGAAACATTTATTACCCCGTTTGTTTATATAATCAAAAACACGTGTATGTGAGTCATGCTTCTCTCATTTCGAGTAGAAGGTCTAATGTACATGTATCTAAAACCATATGGACATACAGTGCCATCTTGTGGCAGAAATTATAGTTTGAAAAACGTTCCAAAGTACTGGCACAAATACGTGACAGTCGGTAGAGAACGGAACAATCCTCTGGCAAGCCTGCGTGTCAGCCGGTAGGTAAGTGTGTTCGTTGCTGGGACGTATACGTGACAGTCGGCGCGAAGGAGCGTCCTCCTACACGTAGCAATCCACTATTTTCCAAGAACGGATATAAATAAATTAAAGGACTCTTCTCGCTTTTCCTGAAGTATCTAGTTCTTTTTTATAGTCAGTAGGACTAGTTTGATTACTATATCATGCGAGTCTTTTAGTTCACTTGTTTCTAAAGAAAGAAGTGAAAATCCTGTCCCCCCTCACATTTTCCGATAAACCTTAAACACCACGCTGGAACGCTCTATAATTTGCTCCAAACTGAAAATTTCTTCCAAAACTGCTAAAGTAACTCCAACTGAACTATGAAACTGTTAACCAATCCTTCCTGTGTCCTTTCAGTATTTCCGTTTTGTCTACATCTGGTAACCCTTTAACCCATTTGTTTAGGCCAACTCTTACAACTTTTTCGAAACCAAATGGGACCTAATCACCATTTTTCATTAAGAACCAACTTGTTAGCCGAAATTTCTCTAGTAAGCGAATCTGCGGGATTATCTACAGACGGACAATAAATACCAATCACTCGGACTCGATTTTTTCCCAACCCGATTCGCAAAAACTTTCTTCATCTCTCCTCACCATATACTCACCACTCTGACCCAATACCACGCAATGCAAGAATCACTCCAAAACACAATTTTTTTCCACCTTCCAGTTTTATTCTTGAACCTATCTAGTACTAATCACTATGGCCATAACCATACCGGCCATATTAACCGCGGCAGCTTTAATTTCTTTAACGGTGACACTCTAATTTTCGACATTATAAAGGGCACTCAGTAATTCCCACTGTTCTCACAATATCTAAAGTAAACAACTGTTCCGTAAGCCCTTCGTGAAGTGGCGCAAAGCACATTGCTTGCTCGTTCTTACAATCCAGAAAACAGTATCTCGGAACAGTAACGGCCATTAATTTTCCGGTTTCATTACACACGTAATCTACGTTTGCCGAAAATGATGTGGCAAGTCATCGTCCCTGTCACACGCTATCTCCCTAATTTCCTGTATCGATAACTTTACACTTATCACAAATGGCGCAATCTAGGATCAAAGATATTTGCCGCTGTCTGTAAAACACATCTTTTAGTGTTTCGCAATGTTTTCCAGAAGTCCACCAAATCTTTCATCTACAACTACGACCTAACTCTTGTCAGGATTCCATTTCAAACCTAGCATTTTCAGTTGCTGAACTCTCACTATCTTACCGTCACTAACTCCATTTTCTAGCCGCAGTTTCTCGAACTC